AGCAAGTCGGAAGGGAATTTATCTTTCAAAAGCCGAATAGGTTCACGCAATTTTAGGCTCCAAACGCTTAGTAAAGTTTACTATATAAAGTAAAACCGGCGGACAGACAACCGCAGGTAACCTTAAGGTATTGTGTATATTTTAACTTGTGTCTGTGCAACAAAGTTTGAAAATAAATCAGGAGACTATTCCACTCCTGTGAATGCATAATTGTGATAGATGCAACCCCTTACCTGATAGAAGTACCAGAGAGTCGTCGCTCGGAACTGGCCGTAAGTGGCTAATGTTCACATTTACGCTGGAGGAACACGGTGTGGAAGACGGCAGGAATTTGAGGGCATCTCTATGGCGGAAATTCGTACAAAAGAGTCCACTGTGTGATGTTTCGGCATTGTAGAGCGTCCGTACCCTGGAACTTACGGCCTCCTGTTTAATTACAAGAACACCATACGTTTATTAAGTAGTACTGTATGTAATCGGTGCAAGATAAGTTGGCTTAAGGTCTGAATTTTAGTTTCCTCAACCACTCCAATTTTTCGTTTAACGTACTTTTTTAACTGCATTTAAGGGAATTTAAAGAATTCGCGAGAGCTATCATTCTTGTCGTAGCAAACAGAAAACGTGCCGTCTGTTACACTGAAGGCCTTTCATCTATTATCTGAACTTTTGGAGAAATTACTGTAAGGTTCATTGCACAGATCAGCATTTTTAAGACGACCGGATCTATAGTACTCACTGTGTGCGTTCACTGTGAGTATCATAAAGTATTCGTCCTCTTGTTCTCACGATATTTTTAAGTACCGAAATAGGCAAATTAAAGAGTATTTGAAGTACTGCGATTTTGGAGTCCTATGTTTTAGGTCAGCGATTTTACTAATTTAGGTTCACTCCGAACACCATGGGAAAATTTACTGAGACGGTTACTTAGAGAGCAATCCTTGGGCCGTTGGAGAAAGCTCCACACAGTCGCTTACTGTGAAATTTCTAAAACTTATATGGGAATTTTGCAAAAATGAATCACAAAGTGTTTTTGAACTTTTAGTTCAGTTTTGCCTATAGGTCAACCTTGCTAACTGCAATTTACCTCTGACACTTGTAAGATGACTTTTTTGTCCATTTAATGTCCCCAAAGTTTAAATTATGGTATATGTAGCTTCCTTGGAGGAAGTTAGGCACGGCTTGAGAACAAAGACTGAGCTTTTGTGCTCTAAAGTTGGTACTAATTATTTGCAGTTTCATTCGCATTGCTAAAGAACAGGCTTCCTTACCTCCTTAGACTGTCCAAAATATGTCATTTTATAAGCTGAAAAGAAAATATTGATTTCTTTATTAAATTTTATCAAACATTTTTTGTTGGTTTCACAATGAACATCATAATTTATCACCGTTTATACTTAAAAACTCTAGCAGGCTAAATTGAAAATTGATTTTATGAACTAACACGCCATGAGAGACATACAACTTATACGTTGGCTGGTACCACAACTCATGTTTTCCTATCTAGTCGAGAATATTCGTGCAAGGATTGTGTTAAATAAAGCTAGCAAATTGCTTACCCATAACTCTGTTGGCTATCAAGAAAACTCCTCGGAGCTATCCTATGGTAATAGTGACTGGGGCTAGCAAAACGTGTTATTTTGTCCACCGATATGCGTTCTCGAGACCGACTTGCACGCTTTTCTGGCCTAGGTTGTTCAAGTGCTGGCCATTTGTTAAATATGTCCGCAGTTCCATTACAATTTTCCATCTGAATCATCTTGAGTATCGACCTAAAATAAATCAAGGGATTGAAATGTTCTTTTTATAGCTATTTAGAACAGTTAAAGCGAACCTCAAAACATGGTTTCCTGTAAACAAATAGCAAATGTAACATCAAAACAGTTTGAAAATGGAAATAACGACACAAAATTGGGAGATTAACGATGGCCTCACAACTGGGCTGGTAATCCAGGTAGGAATCTTACCTGTTCCGCTAGCATTAAGTTATGCATTTGTTGTCGCACATAACTGCTATTATATAGCAACGTGTATTTTAAGAAGCAAGTACATGTCTTTAAATCAGCTTCTGTAAGAAAACTGTAGGCTCATCAGATAATTGTTCAGATGTTTATGAGTTTGAGCTCATTGAACCGTATTCTTAATTGCTAATCGTATCTGGTTTATCTGTTTAGTTATTTCTACGCAACAATTTGACGTTTATTCTTTGCGAAGCGTGCATAGTTGTTGCTAAGATTTAATTATGTTAGAGCATATTAGCGTTTGGTGTGTATTCCCACCAAAAACCAGCTTAGTGTCAGATGTCAGGGCACCGAATAAAGCAAAATATTTACCTTGGAGTGCAAAACTATAGAATTTTAATTCGAATAAAGTTACAGTTTTTATTTCTGGGAAATTAGGTAGAACGTGTTAGCAAGACATAAATAAAAACCAGCTGCTAAATTTTTGAAAATTCGTTTTTTTAGTTGAATAATCAAGCAGACGTAGCAAGATGCCATAAGTTGATCAAATGACAATGCTTAGCAAGAAAGTAAGCTTCTTATTACTTCTTTGAAGTGCAATGTTAGAAGCGACAATTCTAATGCCATTTAATCTTACCACACTAAGCAGGAGACCGCTCTCTATTTCGTCACTAGTTGGTGCCTTTAAACCGTAACTTATGCATTTAGAGGCACAAACATCTCCTTCACCTATATTAAGGAGCTCTATGTAAAGAAGTACCTTATCCAACCTCATGCAGCTGCAGCTGAATGTGTTTTAATTTCATCATCTACTACTGTATAATTGATTAATTCATGTATAATGCTAAGGCGGGCCATACAGCTGTCTTTGAAGCTCGGACGATGGACGATATCGCTCTTCCTTAGTTGGCTGCAGTAAAAATATATTGTATAAATATTGACTATCCCAATCAAGTACCGTCAACAGTTTTGTTATATGTCTCTACGATGTGTAAAATTATTAAATATTAATATTTAATAACTTCACATTCATTGCGGCAAATTGGTCATTTACTATTAAAAGTTCAGACATTTGGACTGTCCTTGGGTAGAAAATGCTAGACTCCGTTATCTAAAAACATGTTAGCATCTAGGGCTATACGCCCACAATAACATGATTGCTTATGGATGCCGGTGTATACTGACCGAGGTTTACATTTTCGAAAAAAAAAACAACTGTTAAAATCTCACGTTAATTTTCATTTTTTCCAACTCTGCGGTGTTACTATCAATGTGCGCGTGAAAAATAAATGCATATACATACATGCATACATAAACGCCGTAAAATTGCACCAGGTTATATCTTATAATAAACATGGTTATTCAAACGCCTGTTATTTTTATAAACAGGTCATAAAAAATCGAAAAGCTATTCGAGAGACTGCTAAGCACATTATCTTAAATATAAACATGCAATTGGGATTTCATGCATGTTTCCGGTTAAGCGGACATTTACAAAAAGCTTAGTTTTGTGTGGGATAAGAATTTGATATAAAAACTGAGAACACTATTTTGATATAATTAAGATAAGCCGGACCGTTGAGAACTAAATTCGATACTACCAAAATCTGGAACATTTCAATTGATATTTATCCTGGATTATCAACTGATATAACCCTGCCAGCACAATCCCCGTTTAGCCCCACTTAGGGCGTGGGCTAAACGGCGGTAAACGGGGCTGTACCCCCACCTAGGAC